TGGATCTCCCACTGGCTCTGCCGTGTATCTCAGGTGTGTCTGTGGCAGGAGTCCTCATTGCCTCAGACTCTACCTCAGGAGTTTTCGTGCAACAGGTCTCTTGACTGGCTACCAGGAGAAGTTCATTCCCCCACCTCTGTCTCTGCATCAGCTCACCAATGGAATTAAAGTTCTGAGCCCTTACGAATGTGGTAACACCCTTGCAGGAGCTCTTCTCAGAGGCTTCTGCAGTTGCTCAAGTCTACCTCTCTGATATTTAGCCAAACATTCTCCATATGACCTACTTCTTATACAGTGTAAGTGAGTGGAAAACATGTGCAAATATCATGACAAAGTAGTAACAGGAAGGGAAGGAATGAAGAAGAGTTAAGCTAGCTGTCATTCACTCCTGTACATACACACATGCCCAAATCAAGATTTGTTTCTTGTTTCTTGCAAATTTGTTTGGGACACTCTTGAGTGTCCTTTCTTTGCCATTTTGAGTGGCACAGGGCAGAAGGAGCAGAGAAGGTGAGGGAGGTGGTGACATGAATAGCATCATGAGGGGGAGCAGAGTTTTTTGCCTCTCTAGATAGACAGCTTTTTAGCTGTTCCCAACAACATAACATAAAATCAACCTACTTGGTTCAGACAACAAACTACAGTGGATACAGACAGCTCTAAACCCCACAGTACAGCAACCTTCAATGCTGATCACCCATGTTGATCACATGCCAATCGTGTTCACAGAGCAGCTTCATCTTTTTAAACAAGCCACCCCAAGAATCCATGGTTTGTTGAAGGGCTGTTCACACCCATGGTGGGTGTCAGGTGTTTGGAAAGACCTGCTGAGTTAGAGGGGCTGGCTGAGGGCTCCCTGGCTTATAGGTGGGGTAATTTCTGGGGAGTTTGGCTTGAACCCCTTTATGCAAAAGGAAAATACCGGCAACAACTCAGCTGAAAAAGGTGATTTTACACCCCAAAAGAAGATACAGTTTGGAAGCAAGAACTCTAAAGAACTTGCAAAGAAAGCACAGTGAAAGAAATCTTCTACCTTACTTAGCTGCTGAGCATTCAGACTCAGTATCTGAAGCCAATTGAACTTAATTGGAGCTATTTAGATTTGCTGGGTTTTCTGTAGTAATATTTGTAACAGTAGTAATATTTTTCCATACCTTTAGAAGGGTTGATTATTGGATTATAGATTTGTAACTGATTAAGTTTCATTCAGATTCATATTGAATTTCTGGTTTTGACCTGAAGAAGGATTTATTTGTTGAGCTATAGTAGAGACGCTTTCTCACTGTTTATATATTTCCTATTTGCTTCTGATTAGACTTGGAGATTAAGGTTTTCTGCAATGGTCCTTACTAGATAGGGCTATGAGAGCCAGGGCATCTGTCCTGTACCTGGAAATAACCAGCATGCAAGGGAAAGGGACAAAAGATAATTGCTAATCTAATTTTCCCTGAGGATGAGGCAGTTGGTGGTAAACACAAATGCACACCTTATCATCTTGCCTCCCTCCCCCACCCAATTTAGATTGGTCTATAGCTCATAGATGTGTAAGAAGAGAGACCAATGAGGATTATGATGTTAATCAGGCTAAGGAAACAGCTTCAGGAAAAAATGTATTAGCTACCTATAGGATAGAACAAGTGCCATGAAGGAAACTACTGGACAATTTTATGCTAAAGCAGGTGAAAGAGCTGGCACTGTGGTCTTCTCAGTTGCCATGGAAGTCTACAAAGAAGCCCTAAATTGGTGGGCCCTCACTCTTGCAGAATTTAATAATAGTGGCCATCTTCCTCCCCAGTGGAACATTAGTATAGTGGTCCAATAGTTCAAACACATAACCCAGGTAACCCTAGCAAGATGAATGAAGAAGAACAGACAGGTTTTCAGTGTGCTTGCTCAGCAACAGGCCACTGTTTTGTTCTAGCCAATCAGATTCACAAGTATGTAGAAGTGAAACATAGATGTTTGAGGCATTTGTTGATTTTTCAGCAGCTTCTGAGTCAATTGGTCATAATTAACTTTGAGAAAAACCAAACCTCTGTTGATAAAATACATTTTTAATGTGGCAGGTCTAGTCTGATACTAAGATCAAGTTATGATTTACTCACTTTCAGATTTAATTCAAGGCTGTGTGAAGCACCTACCAAGGATGTTTTTCCCTCCATCTCTGTTTAATATTTATGTTAATGCTTTAATAACTGATCTAAGTAACAGTGATAATTATGTGCCACCTAAATTGACAAATAGGAAAAGTACAGTATGAGGGTATGCTGGTAATACTATTCTCCTGTCCCAAGCACAGCACTGGTTGAAGATAAAACTGAAAAACTTATCAGCAATGCAGAGAGAGAGAGAGAGAACTAGGAAAAGAAAAAAGAAAAAAGTATTGGTGTTTGCTGATTTTACATTGATCAAGCACAGATGGCAAATTGATGGGCATCCTATTGATCAGGTGAGGTCCTTTAAATAAGTTTTAAGTTTCTCCTCAACTAGAAGTTGGAACAGCTTCCTGGAAAATTCAAAGAAGTAACCAATAATACTCTGAACTGCTTATTTAAGTATTATTAAGGATTGAAGTAGAATCTTCTAGCAATTAAAATCTGTGAAGCCAAAGTTATAGCGCACATTTGCAATGATGCTGAAATACGAGAATTTATCCAAAAGGTTATTCTGGATTTACGCCAGAATAAATTTCTGCAATCTATTCTTGACCTCCCAAAGTCAACTGAGACCCCTATTCTTCAACTGGAAACCAGCTGAAGAATAGCAAAAAGCTGAGTACACATTTTTGTCCTCAGGTATTGGTTGAAATTGCAAAAGGGGGTAGAATGTTCCCTAGTACTATCTACCTTCAGAGAAATGTTGGACCATAGTAACAGGGGGCTCCAACTTGAAATCAAGAAATCCCCCAAATGATTGATATGTATGGAGTCTCTGGATCTCTTGAATGCCTTAAGCTTTGAGATGAGAGATGGCAACATGTTACCTGGAATCTAATATTTTAACATACAATTTCCAGGATGACTACATTTCTGTCTGTTGAAATGTGCCCCCTGGTATGTCAGACTACCTATTCAAGCTTTTCATCCCTCTTCCACAGGGCTCTAAGGTTTTTTAAAACCTCTCATTTTCTTTTTACACAGTTGCTTCATTTTATTGGTTATAGTTGCATTTAATTTTTCATTGATATTTATTATGGTATGCCATGAGGCGAACCCTGTCATTGAGCAGCTCGTAAATGAAAATAATAGTAGTAGTAAAGAGGAGGAATAAGAGGAGGAGAACTATACCTTCATGTAGAGAGTGGGGAGCAATTTGAGGCAACTCTGGGGCAATTTGGGAATTCTTACCCTAACCACCAAAGCCTTGTTGAAGCTTGAGTGAGTTACCCAGAGCCCACTGCTCAAACTCACTCTTATTCTTATTGTATGGCGCAGTTTTGGTCATTTTATGGAGGCTGAAACAGGACGCTTGAGACTTGGCTTCTGGTTACTAGTACTCCTCTACTCCTTCACGCCTCCATGTGTTTAATTCCTGCTAGAATATCCACAGTAGAAGGTGCTGACTGCTACAGCACCTCACAATAAAACAATGACCTAGTTATATTACCATTAATCCCACATTCCCTGGTAACGTTTCTCTCACACTATTTATAACTTTCTTTTTCACTTCAAAGTGCAAGCCACTACTCTTCAGATCTTAATCAAAACAGTCCAATATTACTAACCCATGAGGAAGCCCAGTATACAGAACATCAATGGCTGGCGTCCATGCGCCTCACACCCTAATACAACACTCAGAGAACACTGTGGGGGAAAATGGGGCCTTGATTATTAAGGCAGGAACAGCCATAAAGCAATGTCTCAATGTATGTCTCAGGAACACTTTTTGTAAACAGACCATGAACAAATGAAATGAGCTTTTAATATCACAGGATCTAGGAATATCCCCCAAAGATGAAAAGGCTGACATTAACTTAGAGCACAATATTATGCCTGTCTACTCGGAGTGAAAGTCCCACTGAGTTCAACTGGACTTGCTCCCTGGTAACTGTACCAGCCTCAAGATGCAACCCTATGGTTTTGGCTGTAGGACCCTGAACTCAGAGATTCATGCTCATCCAAGCAGAGTAGAAGGAGCAGCCAATGAGATCTTTCCTCCCTGGTTCTCCTGCCCTGCACTTTGCTGGATGGACTCATTTGACCATCTAGTGGTAGGATCTCAGAAGTGAAGGTAAGGAGGCTGGACAGATGTCTAAATAATTTAGGTACTAATCTATCCTGTGTCATCCCTTCCCTTCCACTGGAGCATGCTCTAGTCAATTTCTTCTCCAGATGCTGTTTAGGAGCCACAGGACTGATCTCTCTGTTTTTAAATCATCATCAGTGCTTCAATTGTTTAACTGAAGCTATTTTTGCTTCATTATATTGTGTCAAAGCAAGTCTTGCTATTTTGAGGGCACAGTGTCATAGTGATCTGGAGGTTTGTGTTCATCTTGAATATTTTCAAGTGCATGCAGTTGGCTCTGGAACTATGCAGGCTGAGGACAGAGGCAGAAGATGCAAACATGAAGATAACAGTTGCTATCAAAAATAAATCTTGGATTCAAAAAGAACACATTCCAGATAGAAAAGAACAAAAATGTGACCTAGAATTTCAGGTATCAACAACAAAGCCCCACTGCTTTGCCATATGCTCAAAGGTCTTTGTGTGTATCCTGTGTAGACAGAATATATATGAAGCTTTGGGAGAGATTTTTTTTTCCACTGAGACCTGTGAATTAGTCATAAAATGACGAGCACATTGTTGGCAGGTCTCAGTGCCGCTTATTATTGGAAGACATAAAATGGCCCCACTGCATCTCTTAGTGGATGACTAATGAATGAGGAAAACAGTGGCATTATTCCTGGCATTCCAATCCAACAGCAGTACTAGAAAGCTATGATGAGGGAAACAGGCAATGCCAAGAAGAAAAACAGGTATTTAGGCTCAATGAAGCTTACCTCAGCTTGACAAAGTGCATGGAGTCCTTGTAAGACTAAAGCAGCAGGTGTGGCTTGATCAGGTTTTGTGCATTCATTCAATACCTGGGAAATTGCAACCAACATATCTGCCCCATGTTGGTAAGGCCTAAGGAAATACAAAAGTTACCAAGTAGCTATTCTTTCCAGAGTAGCCGTATTCGTCTGTTGCAGCAAGAACAAAAGGTGTCTCATGGCACCTTAAAGACTAAAGTTTACTATAGCCTAAACTTTTTTTGACTGACAGTCCATTTCATCAGATGATCATCATAATAGACTATGCATATATGTAAAGTCTTGACATTATCAAGTACAACACATGAACATTCTTCAGAGACAAAGATTCATTCATAATGAGAGAAAACTAAATGTGCAATAAAAAGCAAATCACAACTGGAACTTTATTTCCAAAAGATCCTACATCTTAGTACATATCACTGCAATAGCTTGAAATCAGTTGATTTCATCCTTGGATGTGAGCAATCACATCACACCATTAGTTGGGGATATACTGATTTAATTATATATTTTGATCCCAATTTTCAGGCTAATGTGGGCCTTCCCAGAAGCAGCTCACCTCCCTCATAAAGGGCTGGGCGCAGGATGAAAGGGAAGGGGAACCAAAGGAATTCTGCCAAGATGCACAGCAAAAAAGATCTCAAGATTTGGAATGTAAAATACTGTTAGGAAGAGCAAGGCACTGCCATTTTAGGGGCAGATCTTGGATGCCATGAAAGGGAAGCAAGTTGTTATTTAATTTGTTATTGTATTTTTACTCCCTGTGGAAAGCTCTGTCTTATGCGCCAGAATGACTTGACCGGCCTTGGAGGTTATGTACCTTGCTATGTGGGTGGTGGGTATAAAAGAGCTGGACTGGTCCATTTGGACTGGTGTATCACCATCAGGATATGACACAGGGCAAAGCCTCACTTTCTGCTCCAGCACTGTTTACCATTCTGCTTGTTTGCCTTATTGCTGCCTCTGTGTCAGGTGCCAGAACAGAAGCCAAGGCAGCTGGAACTTGAAGCACGATAAACAGAAGGTCCCGGGCCTTTGTTGAAGCAAGGGTCAAAGCCTCCGAATTAATATATCAGTTCTGTCCAATCTTGAGGCTTTATACAGCCAGCCAATTACAGGAGTTAACACTGCACTCCCCTCTTCTGCACATGAAGAAAACTCAAAAGCTCAATCATGTGCAGTTCCCAGCAGCTCAATAAGCTCGTTCCTGTGTTCAGTGGCATGGTTTCCACTTCAAAGACCAAAGTCCCTGACAATCAATACAAAACTCTTCAGTTGTGGAAAAATTCAATCCTAAAATAAAATGGGTGGGGGAGGCAATTGCTTACCTTTGTTTACATATATCTCGGATAGAAGCAGCTTTGGCAATCACCTTTTCCCACTGAGTATCTTTACTAACAGAGAAGGAAGCCAGATCAGACATTGTCATGAATCTCTGTAGTTCTGGGTAAACTCGGTCCTAAAAATAATTTAATAGAGGATGTGGGGTAGGGGAGGGAGAAGGTTTGGTAACTCACTTTTCTATATTTAATGTACCAGGATAAAAGTATATTTTTACCCCACCTATCTTAGCTCTCTATATAACTTGCAATATTCCTTACTGGGAAGGCAACCCAGTACCATCCAGATATTTTTTTACCACAATTCCCATGAGCCCCAGAAAGCATGGCCAAATGTTAAGGATGATGAGAGTTGTAGTCAAACTGCCTAGAGGGCACCAAACCTGGGGACATTCATCCACAGTCTGGAAACCTTCTAGTTAGATTTCCTCCATGTGTTCCACACCAAGCTACCTTTGAAGATGGTTTGGAAATTTCAATTAGTTCAAAAACAGAGCGGCTAACGGGCACTGGCCAGTATGACTGAGTGATATCAGTGCTTTGTCAGCTATCCTGGCTTTCAGTCCAGTCCATTCCTAAGCCCAGCTGGAAGTCTTGGTGCTGACCCCTTAATGCCCTACCTAAATGGTTTCTGGCCAGAATAGAAAGGAACAACGCCTCCCATATGTACCTGTTTAGAACTTTAGGTCATCTTCTGAGGCCCTCCAACTAGCTGTCTCCAACAAAAAAAGCTTGGTGGGTGGCTACAAGAAGAGGGTCTTCTCATTTATGGCACCCTGCCTTCTGGAATGCCCTCCCCAAAGAAGTCTGCCCCATGCCTAATTTTTTTTTCAGTGCCAGGCTTTTAAAAGGCTTAGTTGTACATTTGGATGGCTGTTTCATCTACGCCTGTGCTGTTTGTTTTCTGTTGTACTTTATTCCGTTTGTAGTGTTTTAACTAGTTGGAATAGCATTTTTGTCTTTCAGCTGTTTATAATCCACCCAGAGAACATTAACTACTGGGTGGATGAAATGATAAATAGTTTCACGAATAGATTATCCTCTTCCTCCTTCACCTCCTGGAGTTCCTAGTAGCTACTGCTGCCCCAGGCAATGCTGTACCACTGTTCAGCAAGGCATCACCTTGATCTTTTTTTTCCTTTTTAGTGCCATTTTTCAAGCTGGAGATTAATAGTTCTCAGTGTTTTTGCCAACCTGTTTTTCCCATAAAGATGTCATCAGTCGTAATGTAACAGCTTGAAGTTTTGGTGTGCTTCCCAACACCTGCAGTGCACGTAAAATCTGTGCCACACAGACCTGGAAGAAATAACTTGTGTGTTTATTTGGCATGCATTTATAAAGACACTTTCCCCTAGACTCATTTATCATACAGAATATATCCAGAGCATCAACACTAAAGCACAGGTAACTTGTGTGTGTCTAACACATTGCACTGTACTCAGACAACAACTTTTCACTTGATGGCTGCACAATCACAGCATATTAAAATGGAAGCCCAGGAAGTAGTGGTGCAAAAAGGAGTATTTAAAAGGTGCAGGGCTAATGCTTGGGCAACCATCTCTTGTAATAATTGATTTGGCTTCTAAACTGCCAATCTGCAATTTTCACCTGTGGTGACGAGAGAAAGGAACCAACTTGGAGCCTTGCAGACTTAGGGAATCGACACACCTGACAGTAGCTGAACCACCTCCCAACATTCTGCATGTTTGTTTTAAAGAGCATCATTCTACTGGAAATATATCAGGATATATATCATTTCCTATCGCCCTCAAGGTAACAAACCCATGACATTTAGAGCAGTTGTTTCAATCAGATCCAGTTTAAGCACTGGAACCGTCATATGGGAGAAAATAGGACAGTTGTGCTGATGATGCTCATGATACATCAAATAAGATGTTATCCTATTTGTATTTAATATTTAAAATGATGTGATGCATGTACCCACGAAATGTAAAGCCCCCTGCATGAGTCCTCAACATGGTGTCCTTTCCCCTTCGTTTTAATATATGTACATGGATTTGTACGAAATGCCTACAACTTTCCAGCAGTTATGCACTGGCTTCAACAAAAGTGGACTAAATATCCAAGTGAGTATCCATTTGAAAATGCCACCCATTTATATCTCAAAAGCACTGTAAGGTCCTTGGTTTGTTGCATTATAGGAGGTTAGTCTTTCCTTCTGATTTGTTAATGTTAATTATTTAGCTATCCATTTCTCATCATAAAGCAGATACATCACTGTAAAGAGTGTATATTAAAGATTATTTCAGTACAAAATTTATCTGTGTAATAACCTCCTCCTCCCCCCAAGAAAGCAGTAACTGGACATGGTCAAAAGACGCATCAAAAGCAGCGTTCACTCTGTTCCACTGCCATTCAGCAGCTTTCTGCACAACTGTCCTAAAACCTTTCATTCATAGCAAATTACTTTCCCATGGATGCATCCCAGGCTGTTGCCATGATCGTTATTAAATAGAGCACAATATGGCATGTGGCCTGAATCTCTGAATTGTGCCTGGAATCTTTTAATCTACCCAAGCATGGTTCCTGCCTCTGAGCTTAACAGCCCTGCAGTGACTAGGAGACTCACTGACCAGATTCACACAACCATGGGGGGCGGGGGGGGGGGGAAGAAATCAAGAAGACTGTGCATGCCAGTCATGCGCTGTGTCTTTTGCTTAATTAACCTTGCACCACATGGCTTCCTGGGTTGTCTGAACCTGGTAAGGTGAGCTGCAGGGATGGCTTCGAAACCACCTGAGAACCTTACAATGAGCTACAGAGCAGGTTCCAAGGCAGCCCTGCCACATACCTCATTGGGTTCAGATGGGAAGCTGTGAGGGTAATAAGGTGAATTGCATGTTGTGCGACTTGTACATGTGGGGGCAGGGAAAAGGAGCAAAGGATTGTTAGGTTGCACAAACTTCTTTTTCCCACTCCAGCTTTAATTTCTCTCCCATAGCTATAGGCAGCAGAATATCCTGAAACAGAACTCGGAATCTGTGGCACCATCTTCCAGGAAGTGCTGGGGAAGCAAACACTGTCCAGAATGCCTCATGTGTGAGGCTTTCTGAGGTTTTAAAAGGCAAGCAATAGCTCGCTTCACTTTATAAGGTCAGCTTGGGTACGTATAACCCTTCTACATTGTTCACAGCCTTCCCAAATTCCTCTTAAGTGCTACTGCTCTGAAATAAGCCACTTCGTTTGGGGAATTAGCTTCCCCATCACACATTTCCAACTTCTTAACCTCTTTTCCCCTCCCCTTCCCTGGTCTTTGTTTCACTTTTTGATGCCACCTAGAGGAAGTCTTGGAGAATCCTTAAGGGAAGCGGGAAGAGATTATACAACATTATATACCATTATACAAATTTCTGAACCATATTTGACATTATACACAGAGACAATGGGATTTCTTTTTCACCTTCGCTTCCTCACCCAACAGCTTTAAAAGTGTGTGTTCACAAGGCAAAAATCTGGGGCTAGTTTGTCTGATGGTTTCTGTTACGCAGCAATGGAATAATGAGCTTTAATAAAAACCCGAGTTACTACTGGGGATGGAGAGATCAATACTTTTCACTTATACAAGTGTGTGTGTGTGTGTGTGTGTGTGAGAGAGAGAGAGAGAGAGAGAGGGAGAGGGAGGGGGGGGGGGGGGGGGGGGGGGGAGAGAGAGAGAGAGAGGGAGGGAGGGAGGGAGAGGGAGAGGGAGAGGGAGAGAGATACACACAAACACACCCATACTTAGAAGTACATCCCAGCATGTTCAATGGGGGCTACTTCCAGGAGGGTGTACAAAGGAGTCCAACCCATGTGACTTTTGATGGAAAGTGTTCAGCTTGATCTTCTGCATGTTTACTCAGACACAAATCCTGAATGGTGAGCCATCATACGACATGAACTGTCAGCCCTATTCCACTTCACTGGCTAGGCAATTCTTTCAGTGGGATCCTGTGTTTTGTCATTGGTACTTTTCTTGAACTACAGCTTCAGTGCTGGTTGGTCCATGCACTTTCTCCATACCTGAGCCCTGCTGCTGAAAACAAACTTCTGGACTGAATCCTGGAAAAGTCTTGGCATAACTCAACTTACGGGGAGGAGACAACAGCAAGAGCTTGCATATTACAAGGAGGAGGAAGGGTTAAGTTGCAGAAAAAACCAAAAACACAGTACGTAGCTGTTTTTAGGAAATGCTTGTTTGTGGAGGGGAACAGCATATATAAAATCTTCTTATAGTTCCTTTGCAATTGGTGTGATCAGCATTTAGTCTCTAATAAGGGAATGTCAAAGTTTTAGTTTGCATGGGATATAATCCACCACTATTGTATGTGTGGGGAGCAAAAGTTGTAATTGCTTCATGGTGGGACAAAAGCATTCAGCATATGGGCAGAGGTAGTCTTTACTCTAGTGCTATTTTTGCTCACAGAAAGTCAGGCAGACATGCTCTGCTCTCTCTCTGTTTTAGTACCTAGAAATGCTGCCTAGCTGCTACAGTAGTATTTGAAATCCAGAATTTTAACCAACCTACCCCCACCAAAACACCCAAAGAACGATCATGCTGACCTTGTGCACTCCCAAAGCAGGTAAAGCATACAAGACATCCCGGCATAATGTCGGCTCCAGTGGCTTTCCCAGTCTGAACATCAGAACTGGAATGAGATTTGGCACCTGAAATAAATGAGATCCATATAAAGTATGGCAGCTTATGACAGAAACAAAAACTGACACGGAGAGCAATGATAAACATCACCTTCATTTTGCAATACTTTGTCCAAGCCTTTAGAAAGAATTAACTACGAATATAAATTTTAAAAGAACAGACCTTATTTCCTGGCACACTGGAAATTCAGTATCATGTGAGGTGTGGCAATCATTATTTCCAAGGCTCTTGTATTATCAACAATTCCATTCATTATTTTGCCAGTGGAGTTATTTCAAAGATTTCCATTTCAGTTTTACTGTTTGCTTCCAGAATGAAGCTCTTTCCTGAATTTTAGGGCTTTTTCTCCCACCATTACCTCCAATTATTGTAACTTTAGAACTTATTCAGTAATCCCATGTTTGGACAATTATGCTGGCCAGAAACCAAAGACTAAATTCAAACCAAATCCCTTATTTATTAGACAGTGGGCACACAGACACAGATAATACTCAGCATGGCCATAAAATTAAATTTCTTCAAGCACCATTAACTCAAATAGATACTGAACCTTTCTGAAACTTTAAGGCAGTTTTGCCATTTCCCACGAATGCCTGGAAACTATGACATTCATTTAGTATAAGAAAGGATGCCATGGTGGGTTTTTATGACAATGAGGCATCCCTGAAAATTACACTGTACAATATAAACAAAGGCAGTCCCTGTCTGTGAATCCTTATAATGTATAGTTAGCCAATGGAAAAGAAAAAAGAGGGTTCTGCACATGACACCAAATCATAGCTTAGCAGGGCATAAATAAGCAGGTACACACTGCAGGTGGCCTCCAGCTTGAATAGCCATCCCTATCTGCTTCTCCTCTGACATGGCCCAATGGCAGTAATTTGGAAGCCTTTGCTTCTACTTTCGCTTAACCATTTTCCTGCCATATCATCTGGAGCCAGAACTATGCTTAATGTTAACTACAGTCAGTTTAATCAAGCCAGCTTCCCTAACTATAATTTTAAGTTGGCTTCCTTCAAACCAGCCATAAGTTACACTGTTTTTATACTCTGTTGTAAACCACCCACAGAGCCTTGGCTATGGGCAGTATAAAAATGAAATAAATAAGTAACCTCAGCTGGTTGGCCTGGATGATCCATCTAATTCAGTTCTGTGGAAGCAGAAGCTTCCAAATTCCTCCTCCCAAACATGCATGAAGGTAAGATGAAGAGAAAGATTATGCTGACTCAAGACTGAATTAGATATGTGGAACTCAGATATGTAGAACATAATCAACCATGAACAGAATTAGAATTCATTAAACCAGTTCGGCAACTTGAATAAAGATTAGAAGTGGAACTCTGGCATTGCTAGAACCTCCTTCCGTTTACTGTTGAATAACTGAGCAGTGTTTATTTTTGACAATGCTTCTTCAAATATTTAGATTATTCACTGTGCTCATATTTAGCATTCAAGCATCCCCCATATCCTCAATTCTAATCCTTCTTACTCAAATCACTTTGAGTAAGTTTTGTGCCATAATCATACTACACATACTGGACTTTCTCACTTGAATTGCCCTATATATAAAAAGCTATCATGAAAATTTTGATTTCTAGAGAGCAAAACAAACAACACAAACCCACTAATTTGTGGTTAACAGCAGCTTCCGCATATAGGAAAGATACAACTCTAACTCAACACTGGTGCTACCTCAAAGAAAGCAGTGCAAACTCAAGAGAAAACAATTTGGCATAGCCCATGGCTCCGGAAAGCAGAGAACTGAAAAATCCTGCTGAGTTTTGGAATGTCAGAGCTAATTCATTTCAATTCAATAAACAAAAAAGATTTTGGGGAAGAGTCCTACTTTCATGTTTTACATGAAGAAAATTTCAAACTCACTCTCAGACTTTCTTATATTACTGTACAAAACAAGCTGCTGGCAACAGAGATCATCAAAAGCACTAACGAATAGGAAAACCAGGGATCTTTCAGGTTGCCAAAATTCTCAAAACTTAACTGGAATCCTACTTTGTTCACAACCTTTTTCTTCCCCTAAGTGGGCACCTTTCCCCCATTGGCTACCACATGAAAATGCGTACCTTTTTAATACCTATTTTGAAGTGCACTTTGAAAAAATGTGCTCGCAAATTCACCAACACCCAAAAACTGCACTTGGTTTAGCATTCAGGGTTGCGAACAGAGCAATTTCACATGAACTGAGACAAAATTCTCATTCTTCCCTAACTGCAATGCTAACCACTGAGTGAGAGGCTCGCATTTGTGGCAAGAGGTCCACCAAGGTGAGTAGATATCTGGAAATTACTCTTAGTTCTGTTCAGAAGGAAGGCTCGCATTTCACCAACATGCATCGGGCTGTTCCAACCAGCCCCTCACTTGATGCTCTGACTGGCCCTTGGCCCTTGGCACCCAAACATACAGCACAAACACCTGCTGGGAACAAGCCCTCCCATGTACACTTTGACATGCAGATGCTCTGGACATGGCTAGCTATTTAATGCTACATGGAGAACTGGGGAAGGCTAGTCTGTGCAGACCTATTCATGCACTGACAGAACGCATGGAACATTCTTCTACTCAGGAACAGCATCTTTGTGCTATTTGACACAGAAAGAAAAGTTCACAAATCTCAAAGGGCCAGGCCGAGCTGAAGGTCAAAAGTAATGCTTCAAAGCCAATGGAGCAAAGTTTAGGGAACCAAGGTTCCATTTAGATGCCAGGAAGCACTTCCTGACAGTTAGGACCCTGAGGGTATGGAATGGGCTTCCACAGGGAGTGGTTGAGGCCCCATCGGTGAGGGGGTTCAAAGATAGGCTGGACATGCACATGGTGGGCATGTCGTGAGCAGAGCCAGCTGGAGCCGGGGGTCAGACCAGATGGCCTGGGAGATCCCTTCTGACTCTCTATGTTTCTATATTAATTGAGTGCATGGGCTAGAGAAAAAATTGAGTAAGTGCACCAAGCAGTGGTGTAGTGGAGCCATGGCTCACAGGGGCAAAGCGCCATGACTTCCTGGTTAACAGGGATAATTACATCACCTATCACCTCCTCAGACACAGCTACCAGCTTGCTGGACTCTCCTTGGGGGCATGGGTATAGGGGACATAATGATTAGTGCCGCCTCCACTTCAAGATTTCCCACCACACCACTGGCAGCAACTCAGAGAAACGGCCTTCCCCCCACATGTCCAGAGGGAAGGAAGAAAAGCTAGAAGATCTATTTGAGGAATGGGAGTGTCAAATTTAAGCCAGGAGCAGATCAGAGAGGTGTGAGCAAGCAGACCAAGCAGGCAGAGGGCAAACCAAGAAGGCAAACATATTCAGATGCGGGATGGATCTTCCCTCAATGAGGATCAGAAAGTCAGCTGTGGACCATGTTTTCCCGACAGCCTCATTCTCTTTCCTTCCACCAGAGCCAACTGGATGCAGCTTCCTAATGAGAGCAGGGCAAAGCTGGGACTCATTAGGCTGAATAAAGCTCAGCCCAGGTGTGGAATTGAAATAAACCCTAGCAAAAATAGCACCGAGCTTCTCACAGATCCATATTGTTTTTATTTAATCAAAAGGGAGATTCATTGGAGCTGTGTTTTTTTCTTGAGGGGTATTGCTTTTTTTGTCCATCTTTAATCATGTTAGCAGCCAACAATAACTTACACAGCTTTCTTTTTGATCTTGAAAAGTTCTCAGATTATAAATATGTTATTTGAAATTATTATAGCATCCAGCAGGAACCAAGTGCTCAAAAGGCTGGATGGTTCCAAAACTATTATGGCTATTCCCATCATATCCATCCATCTTGGCAAGATTCGTTAACTGTTACTTCTAACATAATGCATTAGAGGTATGTTTTACAAGGAAATCCTGGAGAAAAAAAGGACTTCCTGTTTCTTGTTCTCAAGTACTACATAATAATCAAGCTACAGAACACGGTAGACTCAGAAACATATTTCATTCAAACAATGGTTTTAAAAAAATGTGCTTTTTGGACTTGTTTTTAAAGTAGAAAAGAGAGGACAAATGTTCAGAAACCTATGACTTCAGGAGTTTACTGTTTTAGCCCAAAACTTAATCATTACCACTGCCTTCCCAACATGGTATTCTCCAGATGTGTTGTACTGCAACTCTCATCATTTTCAGCCAGTATGGCCAATGGTAAGTGCTGGTTCCAGGTCCTTGAGGGCTCTTGAGCAAGGCACCCTTACCAGTTCCTTCCCTCAGTGGGTCTGCCGTCTCACCTCCGGTGGCTTCAGTTGCCATTGTACTGCATTCTCTTTCTCACCACTGCTGCCACTGGTTTGCCTGGCAGACACAGCGATTGGGCAGGAGTATCTCCTGCTCCTCCGCACCCTCCTTTCTCTGGCCCAGGGAGACAGGGAGGAGAAACAGCTCCCGGGAACTCCTCTCTGTGGGCACCCACTGGGTTGTGTGCCCTTGCCCATGGCTCAACCATGCCTGCCACGGACACCAGGTCAACGGCAATGCTGGCTAGGAATTATGGGAGTTGATGTCTAGAACATCTGGAGAGGACAAAGATGAGGAAGGCTGCCTAGAACATTCCATGCTGAGAACAGCCCAGCAGTCTCATGGTGTTTGACTATCTGTGATACTACGACTGGCAGAATTTCTTGTTTTTGACATAGTTTTTGACAGTTTTCCACCTGGGCCAGATACCCAGAGGTGATCAAGGATGCCTACACAGAGAGAAAATTATATATATATTTGTACTGAGAACCAGTCCAGTGATGTGTCATGCAGGTATTTAGTTTTTACATGCAAAAATGTAGGCTCTCTTATGCTTTGTTGTTCAAAAACAACAGTGGCTTTCTAAAACAAAACAAAAGCCACCCCTTAATTCAAAAGCATAACTAAGGCAGGGCTAGGTTCTTGCCAATGCTAAATGAGCGTTTAGTCTTTGTCAGTTTTTTCAACAGTTTTCCAACAGCCACCCTCCAAATTCATTAACTCTCCGTGCATATGAATACAGAGAGCCGTGGAAGGCGTTGCTTAG